CTAACAAATCTAGGTGAGTTTTAACCACTCTAGTAGGTTTAGGTTGCAGATGAATCAGGATTTTAGTTTCTGGTAGTTTGAGTCTCATTCTTGTAAAAATTTTTGTAAATTGGCTCCGGCCAGAGGAACCCCTAGTGGATTTTCAATACAAAATATTAATAAAAGATAAAGCCAAAACTTCACCTTAAAAAAAAAAAAAAAAAAAATTTTAAAATTTACAATGATTGTTAATGTAATTACTATTAATTGTCACATCAAGATTATAGATTTTGAGATTTTGAATATTAAGATTTTGCAATACATAGAATTATTTAACATTAAGATTTATTTAAAATTAGATTATATATAGTTTAAACTAATTTGTTAATTTTAATATGATAGAATAAACCCGTGCTGCAAATTAGCAAAATTTTCTATATAGATTACATAAGAATAAAATTTACTTTTGTATAATAAAAAACATAGTTAAATGGAATCTATATAGCATATTTTACTATTTTACAACGTAGGTTTTGCCTAGTCTTATTTTAACTATTTAATATAAGTAATAATTTAGAGTATATTATATATATTACTGTATTAAATAGATAAATATAATAAATTCGATTTTATTTTTTAATTTATTATAGTTTACTGAAGAAAGTTTAAGACAATGGATAGCAGAATAGATCATTTTTGAAGATCTTCCTTTTACAATTATTGAAGGACGCTTTAAATCAATGATTAAAAAGGCTTTAGGATTTAAAGTTGTTTCTGCAGATACAATTAAACGTGATATTTTACAAAAATATTCACAAATCCATGATTATATTCGTCAAGAATTACAAGATATTTCTAACAAATTTGCCTTTACATTAGATATTTGGACTTCAATTTCCATTAAAGCTTATATTGGAGTAACCATACATTATATTGATAAGTCATGGTCTCTTCAACAAAAAATATTAAACTTTGTTGAATTAGAAGGTGCACATTCTGGTAACAATATAGCAAATAAATTTATAAAAATGGTTGAGTTTTATAATATAAAAAATAAGGTTTTTATTTTATTTTAAATTACATATAATTATTGTTATATTCTAATTTATTAAATTTTTTTAATATTTATCCCTTAAACCGTCTAGCAGCTATATATGGCTGCTAAAATGTTTTTTTTATATATTTTTTGTAATTACTTAAAA